TATAATCACTCCCAATTAAATACATTTTTTAAAGATTAATTTAGATAGTGCCAAACTGGATATTTCTGATGCACAGAAAGCTGTAAAAAATTGCGATTGAGTTTCTAATAATAACAATAAGAACCGCAAGAACGTAAGATTGGAAGCAGTTTTTGCAATATTGATGGCACATAAAATGGATTTTTTTCCCCTCCTCTGGAAAGGAAAATCCATTGCATTGAAATAGAGGTTATTACTTAGTAAGGGATAAAGAAGTGCGACTAGAAAGTGGCAATGGTCCAAGGGTGTGCCGGGTGGGGAAAAACTGTTCTTGAATATTTTGCACAATCAGGGCTGATTTCAGATTTCTGCATATTTTGGCTTGGCTTAACTTGTGGTCCACTACTCTTCCCAGAGATGTAAAAGTTTAAAAATCTGAAGGGGGGAGATGAATTCTAGTGCACCCCAAGGATAATTAGGATAAAGGATAATAAGCCACATCCTTGAAAAATAATGTATTGCTTTTTATTGAAACAAATGGAATGTAAAGGAAAAAAAACAGAGGTTAAACAAAGAATAAAAGCAAACAAAGACACTTGGGGAGAGAGAGAGAGAGAGAAATATAATATATTGAAACAATTATATTCAGTAATTTACTCAGACATTTGTACAGAATATTAATGTAGCTAATTAATTGAGAGGATATTTAAATGCATCTACGCTTAATTAAAGGTTCTTCAAAGCTCTTTTCTGCACTTTTAGATAGCATTTATGCAAATAAAGTTTTTCAGTTTTCTATTGTTTGGTTTGACATAGTACATCTGGCACTAATTGTAACCTCTGTCTTGTGCTGCAGCAATTAATAAATTGTAGGAAAAATAGCCAATGAACATTGGTAGGCTTAACAGTCAAACATCTTTCAGTACCATGGACAAGGCTGGTTGCTCCAGCAACAAAATTTGAAGTATCTTTGTGTTTAGTATAAATTGCATGAGACTATACAAACATCACATGATAAATTATTTCAATCTGATTTAGTTCACCAATTTACTTTCTTTCCATAATTTCCCTCTTGATTATTATCTTTGCTGCTTGGTTTCCTCCTTCTTTTCAATGGTTTCCCCATTGGCTTTGCTTGTCAGAAGGTCACTGTGCTGTCCCAGCCAGTCTATGGGAGTTGGATAGTTACTTAGGAATTATGAGCTGTCCCCTTAAGGGAATGCATCATGATAAATGTAGTTAAAGGTATCCTGGGAAATGTCACGTGGCCACATCTGTAATCCTGATTGGTCACTAAATTGACCCTTGAGGGGTTGAGGGAGGTTTCCCTCCATTATAGCCTGGACTCATGAACTGATAACAGCTTTTCTACCACTATGAGATGGGTTAGGAAAATAACCATCTTTTACCTGCAATGCTGATATACAAAGGATTGGTCATTATAGAAGAGCTTCATCACAAATGTGAGTTATGAAGATACCTGATGTACCAATAAATGTATTTTGTTATGGATCTTTTGTGGAATTATCTATCTGCATCTGCACAGCCACAAATCCACCTCTGTGCATGAGACAGGACAGGATAGTCACAAAAGGGCATCGCATGACCCAGGGACACAGCAATGGTCATAAATATAAACCAATGTTCAAGCATCCAAATGTAAATCACGTGACCATGGGGAAGCTATACTGGTGAAAAATGATCACTTTTTTCAGTGCCATTGTACCTTCAAATGATCACTGAATGAACCATTGTAAGTTGAAGACTACCTGTATTTTTCATCCCTCTTATCTATAGGAATTTAGGTTTGTTTCTTGGAAATCCTTCTGTATATTGATAATGCTTTAGAGCAGGGGTGTCAAACTCATGGCGTCATGACGGCGTCACATGAAGCATTGGCATTTTTTCCCCTTTGCTAAACTGGGTGGGGGTGGGACCAGCACATGACACATCCGGCCCATGGGCCACAAATTTGACACTTCTACTTTAGAGGATATGGTCAATAAAGTTTTGTGTCATCAGTAGAAAAATAACAGTTCTGTAAACATAATTACATGCACACATATAATTGTTGATTTAGTAAAGTAGAGAAGATGAAAAAATTGGTAGGCTATGGTCAAGATGTATCGAGAATTATGAAATGTTACAGGGTTTGTGTGCATCTGTTCAGCTGGTATTGGCATAGTTTTCCATATATTTTTCCATGTTCCAATTGGCCACGAATAGCCTCACAACAATATGGGAAATGCTGAAAAAAAGATTGAAATTGGAAAAGTGCTTAGACCAGAAGTAATAGTGGAGGATTGTAAAAAGTAATTAAAAGTTTTTTAAATAATCTTAATAAACATAATGATGTAAGAATGGTTTGGGATACAATCAAAGCTTTCACGAGATGTTATTTTATACAACATAATAGTAAACTGAAAAAGAAGAGAGGAGAAAAAAGTAATTTTGAACAAGATAAAAAAAGGAGAAAGGATTAAATATTTCATAGAAGATAAATATTACTCAACAAATTAAGCTTCTACAGCAACAATAATCTATATTAACACTAAGATGAATTATAAAAAATGAAAAAAAATGAATTTGCAAATAAAGCAGGAAAGTGATTAATAGACAAATTACAAAAAGAAAGAAGAAAATGCTACTGAAATTGCATGTGGGATATATCATAATAACAGATAATGTGGTTTCTTAACTATAAATACTTTGAGGATGAACTCTTGCAACTTTTACAAATATTATGAACTCTATTTTATAGAGGGGAAAGGTTGCAGACAGCTGGAAAGAGGCTAATGTAGTATTAATATCTAAGAAGAGACAAGATTTGACTTAACAAGAAACTATTAGCCAATGTAATTATTGAATAATGACTGTAAGTTGTTTACAATGATTTTGGTTGAGAGGTTGAAAATAATTTTGCAATTCATGAAGATCAATGTGGGTGTTTTAACTCACTTTATATTTAAAGGATAATATAAGAAATCTGATGGACATTTTGGAATACTTTGAGCAACACAATGAAAAATAAGCCACATTGATTTTCTTAGATGCAGAAAAGGCCTTTGACAATTTGAAATAAACTGCTTAAAATTATGAAAAATGTGTATTTTGTCAAGTATTTTATACTGATAAGATTGATCTATTCTTCACAGAAAGCACAAATAACTATCAATGGAGATCTAAAAATACTTTATGAGATATAAAAGGGAACAAGACAGAGATAACCATTCTCTTTTCCTGTTTATTTTAGTTCTTGAAATATTTGAATATAAGACAAAATGAGGGAATTGTGGAAGTAAACATTTAAAAAGAAACTTGTAAGTCGAGGGCACTTGCCCGCTGCCTGTCACCATAGGCAAGCCACAGTAGGATCCATTTTTTAGTCATTTATAAGGTGAAGTACATAGTACCAATGCCCTGAGGCACTTTGATTCCCTTCCAATTCTGGAAAAATAAAACTTTATCCACCCTGCTCATCAATCCCATGTTGCTAAAACTGTTTCTTTTCCTGAACATATGTGCATTTCTTTCCTCTTTATACAAGACAAGTGTTCCAGGAAAGAAAAAAGCATTAATGAAATAAATTAAAACATAGGATAAAATATATGCTAGTACGCACAAAAGTTGAAATGCTTGTGTTTACATCATATAGAAGAGATTGACAGATGCCAGCTGAAGGTTTATGCTTTTTTGCAATATGAGCAAATAAGTGAAAAACATTGATGTTTTCATCCAGGTTTTGGCTTTTGGGGAGGGAAAATAATGATTGTTGCATATGTCTCTTCCAAGCTGGATTGATAGCGATGAGTGCCACAAAAGCACACATTGATTTCCTGCCCTTGATCAATGTATTTTATATTGTTATTTTTTATCTACTGAAATCTTGAATTGTTTCTAGAGAAGCTTAACATAATAAGAACTATGATTTTCTTCATGAATGATAGTTAATAGGATTATTGCTCACTGAAACTCTAATACAACAGAGGTGTCCCCAAAGAATAAATAAAAACCTGATATTTTGAGAAATACATTTTACATGCAGCTTTTTTTCTTTTGAATCATTAAAATACCAGATCCCAATTATGACATTTTTTTGGATACTGATTTGCTCATGGCAAAATAAGAAGCAATGAATGATAAAGATAAACAACATAATAATTTCATAATCTAGAAAGTTATAAAAGGAAGCATGTATATTTAATAAACGTACGAGTCATATTTCAGATAATAAGCCCTCACAATGACCTGAATAGAAAATTAATGTTTAAATTACCAAGGCCTCAATCCAGCAAAAATATAAGCATGATTAAACTTCAGAGAGTTATATGGCCCGTAGGTAGCACTTAAGTATAATATTGCAAACAGTTAAAAAAGAAAAGTAGTTCCAATATTTTCTGTAAGCCCCATTTTTGCAAAGAGAATGAACTTACCCTCCCCCTTACTCTGTTTCATTCAGATCTTATATCATATTAAAAAGCAAACCATAAAAATACGAGAAGAAAAATTTATTGGTTGTATTCTCTGCCATGCTTTGCAATATTATCACAGTTTCTTATAAGATTGAAACTGATTTTTTTAATACAAGAAGAAACTGTTTTGTAAACAACGGACAAATGGCAGAAATCTTCACCGATAGGAAACAAGCAGATGTTGACTATAAAAGAGCTGAAAAGGGCCCAGAATTTAAATCTATGGGTTAACATACTGTATATAGAGGGCAAGATTCTGGTGTGCTTTTTCATAATGCATTTCTTCCTCTTTTAAATTCCTACTTTTTTTGCAATAAATCTACATATAAAACCTTGTGTCTGCCTGGGAATGGAAATATAGAAAGTATATCTCTGCTACAAAACCTGGATAATTCTGGTGAACAATTTATAGGTTGAATGCAAATGTAGCCCTTGAAAAAGAAAAGAAACCATTTTATTTCCAAATCCAGCCCTTTTGCTATTGATTTTGCCCTTGTCCTCTTACTAGTAGATTGGAGACTCACTGTACATCCATGTTTTCTTCCACAGAGGTGGCAGAAAGAAAGCTGACCATGGAGGAAGAGGAAGCCAAACGTATTGCAGAAATGGGAAAGCCAATACTGGGTGGACATCCAAAACTAGAGGTCATCATTGAAGAGTCCTATGAGTTCAAGGTCAGTGCTGTGTACTCAAGAGTTTTTTATCAGGGAAGTGAGGGGAGGAAAAGCAGGAAAGGAACTAAACAGAAAAATGGGTTGGCAGAGTTTAAGCAGAAGAAAGGAAGAGAACCGAAAGGAAAAAGGAAGGGTACAATAGAAAAAGAAGGTTTGCAAGGAATGCTAAGCTAAGGCCAAAGTCTAGGCTAAGTCCTGGGAGGGAAGAGAAAAACCAATGAGAAAATTAAATAAAATGAGGTCAGGGAAAGAGAGAGCAAATTTGAAAGACAATAATTAAGAGATGTTTTCAAGAATACAGTCCTACTTTAACGATAAGAAAATGTCCGGAAGTTTCACCATTGATTTCTGAACACTGAAGAATGGAAAGTCCTACATCAAAAGGTGGGTTAGGTTGCTGCTTTGAATTATTTATTTAAAAATAATAATAAGGACAGGATAAAAAAGAATCTAATAAATAAATAATAAAATATTCATGCATTTAAGATACATAACTAAGAACCAACTAAACCAAATGTGATTGTTTCTAGCTAAAAGAATTATCACACTGCTACGGGTGAGAAATTAACAGGCAAATATGCTAAATTTTATTCTGCTGTTTTCAGATGCTAATCCTTACCGTCAAATGACTCCAAGGTCAAATTGACATGCCCTTACATCTAGCTGAAACAGGTTTCTCTCTCTCTGAAGGTTGGTTGCCCTGGAAATTTTTTTTAGCAGCACGTCTGTCTCAATCCAGGTCAAGTTTGCTAAGACTCATAGAACACTGTAGAGGAACTTGAGCCTGCTAAGTTCACTCCATTATGAAAGGGATTTGCTGTATGAAGGGGAAATAATTTATCCATTGACAGAGTACATTGCAGGTTGAGAAAAAGACTAAGAAAGAACAATGGCATTTACTAAGGAGGGAGAAAGTTTTATATGAATAAAGAAGCAGAAGGTGCCCTTTCTCTTAATGATGCAACTATGGCTTTTGGCAAACAACCTTGTCATAAAATGACTTCCTGACCTACTTACAGTTTGATGTTTATACCTTTCATTTCTTTTATTTACTCTTTCATGGACATTATCTGTGGCTTAACTTAGCTTCTTGCAGTTAATGCTTTCTCAAAGAGTTAAGACTACAATTACAAGGAAACCTATAAGGAATGGAAATTCTGGGTCATGTGATCATAAAACCCTTGGAAGACACCTGCACGGAAAAGCTACCTAACACCTTCAGTCAATCTCCACATTGACTGAAAGATACTCCAAAGGAAGGCCTTTAGTAAAACCAGTATTCTTTGTGTCCTTCTAATTGACAGAGCACAGTGGACAAGCTCATCAAGAAGACAAACTTGGCGTTGGTTGTAGGAACTCATTCATGGAGAGACCAGTTCATAGAAGCCATCACTGTCAGCGCAGGTGAGACAGAGTGAATGCTTTGTTCTCAGCTGAGGAAACTATTGCCCAGAGGCAGAGGGGAATTCTAACATGAATTACTTTGGGAGTTTTTATGAAACTCTTGCTCCTCAATAGATGTTATGAACAGCGTTTAACTCAGTGGTAGTAATTCTACTGGTTCGGCCCGGTTCTGCCCAGCCGGTAACAGCGACGAGCAGCAGAGATCAAACCGGTTCTCTCCACAGCTCTGCTGTTGGGCCCATCCGGCCGGGCCTTTATCCTCTGCTTTTGAAGCGCAACTGCTTTGCGCAGCAGCTACTGAAGTGACTGGAAGAGTGCAGGCTTGTAGGAGGTGAGTTGGAATGCCTCTGCGCCTGTGCAAAGTGCGTGTTTGGCATGTGTGCGCATGCGAAGTGTGTGCATGTGCACAAAGTGTGCCCACCAAGCCATGCCCACCAAAGCAGTGGTAAAAAAAATTGAATCCCACCACTGGTTTAACTTGTTTGACTTTGGTTTGATTTTTGGAGAAGGGGGGATCCATGCATTGGATAGAAAATGAATATATATTAAGTCTGATAATAAAGAATTTTTGGTTAATTACTTGTTACTTAACAGCATGGCGTTCAAAAAAAATCACCGAATGGTGAAATTTCCAGGAACTGTAAAATCACAATAAAAAGAAAATTTACTGTTTAAAAAAGAAAAGTTTTTCACTGATTATTAGAAAGGAACTATTTTTTTTAAAAGTAATTCCTGTTACTATAATTTTCCAGAATCGGAGTAGGTAAAATTAATTCCTTTAATTCTCATTGCCAGTAATTAACATTAACCCCACACTAATAAAATTGTTCTTGACTGATCGGTTGGGTTTCATTTTGAGTAATCCAGCTGTTTTTACTTAATTAATGTAGTAAAATCTAACTAGTTGATTTATCTATTCAATTAAATTAGAATGCTTAATCCTTTGGATAGACTCTGGTAACTTTCATTTCAATGCATATCACAGAACCTGCCCCCTTAGTGATAAACAGTGCTTTAAATCCTCATACTCTGTGCCTGGGCACACTAAGGACCTCTGTTTTAAATGAAGTGCATGGTTCACAAATAATCATAGTATCCTGTTGCAAATGTTAGAGTGCTTCTGAACTGGATACTAGCATTGTTCCTGGGAAAAGAGTCCATTTCCAGTAAGCCTACATTCCCTGCTATATGTGAGCTTCCCAGAAACAATGAGAAAAGTGCAAGGAAAATCCCAGGCATTCTGTTTATGAAAGTATTCTCACTGTGGCACTTCCTTGCTTAGAGCAGTTTGCATTTCAACACTTACTATGTCTCTCTCACTCCTCTTTTCTTCCTTCCCCTTTTGAGCATGGCTTAGGGAATACTCTGCCTGCAGTCCAAATCACTCATTCCCCCCCAATAAAAACCATCAGAGTCAATAGGATCTGTTTTCACAAAGGCCTGTTTTATACCAAACTGCCAATTTGTTGTTCCCATACCTCTCCTTCACCTTTTCCCAGTTTATTTTATCCTTGCTTTGTGATACGCACTTCCTGTAACAGTGCATATTATTAAACAAGTTCTTCTCAAGATTACTCTGTGCCAGTCTTCAATCTCTGGATTTTGCCCTCATCCATGGTAGGAAGCCAACTGCCAGTGCCTAATATGCCAAGACACAGTAATCTTCAGGTGGAAAACATTTGATCTACCGTTACTTACCGTGTGGATGGAAAACCTTGCCACTAGCAAGGACAGGCTGAAAAGCAGGAGCTGCTACATTTTGTGCCCAACTGATGATGTTTTTGAGATTTTTGAAAAAGTGTCATGGACACCATTACAGATTTGTTTGTTTAAAAAGGGCAGAGTGATTAGAAATCAGAAGATTAAAGTTACCAGCTACTCCACTCTCTTGCTTTTCTTTCTGAAAGAATCCTTTGAATTCATGCATTACACAGAAGTATCCTCAGAAGACAAAAAGGGGAAGAAGGGAGTTCTGTTAAGCCAAGAACTCTGTCCAAATAGGGATGGTCATGAAGCTTGAGTGGGTGTTGGTTAATGCTGGATAGAGCTGTGATGTAGGAGTGCAGGTCAAGTGACGGTTAATCCCAAGAGGAGTTGAAGAAAACCATTACTTGAGACAAAACAAATCAGCTTTCCTTTTTCACCCATTTTTCTCAGGGCAACCCAAGTGTTTAGTGCAAGAAACCTCTTGAGCAAGGTAATCCATTTCAAATCCACCTTCCAGATGCAAAGCTGTTAGATGAAACATGTTGCTGACTTTTATTTATTTGATTGGGTGAAATAGCTGCCCATCTCACAGCAGTAACTGTGGCCAGTATGCAGATTTTAGCATGCAGAATTAAAAACAACAAGGTAAACAATCTGAACCATAATGTCCAAGGTTACAACAAGCCCAGCTGATAAGAAAACATTAACCAGCAGAGTCCTAATGTGGGAGAGAGAGAGGCTGGAACTAGCTATATCATAGAAACTCTGAACCCTTTTTTATTATTCTGCCCGTGTCAGCTGGCACCTGAATTTGAGCCTCAAATCCCCCCAAAGGAAAGACTTCAAGGGGGTGGGGTATGGAAATTGCAACCGTGACATTCAAATTGGTAGTAATGTATTTACCCAAGTACTATTACATTTTTTTCCCTTACATCCCCCCCCCCCCCCCCCCCAGCATAGCATTACATACACGATCACATTGGAATGATGGTAGATTGGTATTACCCAGTATATTTCTTGGTTTTCAGCAATAGATTGTCACGGATTGCTTCCTGATTGTTTAACAATGGTAAACAATTGTAGTAGCCATCTATTACTGAAATAAAATTGGAGGGGGATTTTTTACTAAGAGAAATGTTTGTGGGGAAAGTACTGTTTTGAGATTTCGAGCAGATCCTGGGACTCAAGCGTTCTTTAATCCCAAGCGTATATCTTTCGTATCAAGCTCCAGTTAAAACTTTTAAGGTCCCGGAGCTGGTCCTTTCCTGAATGTTACTGTACTGTGCAAGAGAAATCAACCTTGCACCTTTGGGTACTGAGAAGCACGAGCCCTTCTGTCTTGTGTCTAGTACCAAATACTGAAGTTCGTCTACTTTACTGTGTGAGAAATAATTTCTTTGAATAACTTGAGTTCAAACGCTTGCTTCCTCTGAGAAAAGATGGAAAAAAAATGGCCTCCCTTCAATCTTTTCACAATGCTGTCACTGTTGCTATGGTAATAAATGTGGTCATCCTCTAGGTGCTCATATAGGAACAAAGTTAAAGGCATTAAGTGTTGCTTCCTTTGCTGTTACCTACTTTCAAGGTTTATATTATCATTACAAGTGATAAGGAACCCCAGTGCAGTCTCGAACTGTTTATCCCTGCTAACTCTCCAGAAACTAATAAAATCAGAAGGAATGAAAGTACAGTTTTAACACTGCCTTTATTTTTGTATCACTTGTGAAAGTTTCTGACTAGGAAAATCTCCTCACCATGAGGAGATTGAATTTCCTGACTTTTCCTCAGTATACTGATCTCTCTAGGCTGCACCACTATTTTGGATTGTATACAGATTGTCTATAATTAAATAGGTAGCCTTTCGGAAAGCGTAGAGGTATACAGTGATAAGCTCCTTGTGTACCTTTTGGGAGGTAAGAAGAACAACATAGAATGCTGCAGGCAAGAAAATCGGTTACCATCAAAGAGCCTCTAAAGGCTTCATGCCTGCAAGAGGAGGTGGAGCTGTGTGATCCAGAAACCAGAACAGTTTCAGGAAGAAGACAGGACCAAGAAATAGAGACTCAGAGAAAACAGCCAGTGGGATGTTGTTCATAGGAAGATTGGAAATGAGAAGACAAAATCAGGACAAATTTCTGGATCAAACAGCCACATGGCACTGGTTGCAGGTTTCTTAGTTTGGTACCCTCAATGCAGAGGTGGTATTCAGCCGGTTCTGGCGTATCGGAAGTGGAAATTTTGAGTAGTTTGGAGAACTGGCAAACGCCACCTCTGGCTGGCCCCACCCACTCCCACCTTATCCTCCTTTTCCTACATTCCCTTGTTTTTTTTAGGTCAGCTGATTTGCAGGGCAGAGTGGATTACCACATCTCAGCTGAGTTAAAAAACATTTCATCTCACCAGCGCTGACACAGGGCGGGGTTTTTTTTATTGCTGTGTGCACGCGCAGAGTGTGTTTTCATAGAACCGGTAGGAAAAAATTTGGAATCCCACCACTGCCTCATTGTATATTAAGATGACAGCTCCAGCCCAATTGCATCTTCCATATCTCTAAAGGGCAGCAGCTAGCTGTGTATGACTGTACTGAACATTCCTAATTAGGTTACTGTGCTGAAGTAACCCAATAGCCTGAAGATCAGGAAAGAAGAAGCAACTTTATCAGGTAGCCTTATTTATCCCTTAGCCTGGAATTTCCCCTTTTTGATCAGATGATGGTTTTAAATACAAAAAATGGCTGTGGACCATATGGGACAGGCAAGAAAGTTATTCTTTTGTGAAACATAATTAACTATCTAAATGGCTGTTTTCATAGAGAACCTTTTCAAGGGGCAGATCAGTAACTGATATTAGCCTGTTCAAGCATGTACATACAATTAAAAAGGTTTGGAAAATTGTATTCTCTGGGTCCTGTTCATCTGATGTGTATATTTAAAACCAAGGTATTGTGAGAAATGAATAAAGCCACAGTGCCTCCAAGAAGAACCCAATAAAGTGGTGATTGTATGACTTGCTATAGGAGCTGGGGTGGCATAGTGGTTAAAGGGCAGTACTGCAGGCTATTTCTGCTGGCTGCCTGCAATTTGGCAGTTCAAATCCCGCCAGGCTCAAGGTTGACTCAGCCTTCCATCCTTCCGAGGTGGGTAAAATGAGGAGCCAGATTGTTGGGGGCAATAGGCTGACTTTGTAAACGGCTTAGAGAGGACTGTAAAAGCACTGTGAACCGCTATATAAGCCTAAGTGCTATTGCTATCCCTTCACTATTTCTAAGCTTGGACCGTGGAGGGTTTGCATAGCATCCACTGATTTGAAGCTCTCTATTTTGTCTTCCCTACAGCAGGCGAGGAGGAGGAGGATGAGTCTGGTGAGGAGCGCCTGCCCTCCTGCTTTGATTATGTCATGCATTTCCTGACTGTCTTCTGGAAAGTGCTCTTTGCCTGTGTGCCCCCGACAGAGTATTGCAATGGCTGGGCCTGCTTCATTGTGTCCATCCTGATCATTGGAATGCTCACTGCCATCATTGGAGATCTGGCCTCCCACTTTGGCTGCACAATTGGCCTCAAGGATTCTGTGACTGCCGTGGTCTTTGTGGCCTTTGGCACTTCAGTCCCAGGTGAGATTGGGCACTCTTTGAAATAGGCGGGTAGCACCACAATGGCTTCTAACTACTCCATCACTAACAGTGGTTGCAAGCTATCATAGGGTTATGTGCAGCTTCCCAGAAATGTCCTACAAAAATGATTCTTAAAAAATAATAATCCAGGATTAGACAAAGAGAATAAGCAGGGGCATCTGCAAGCCAGTTACAGAATTTTATAAGGAAAAGCAAGAAGAAAAAATTGTGTTTGCCTTACTTAACTCCTTGGAGGGCTGTCAAGTAGGAAAAATAATGAAGAAATATTTTGCATCACCCATCAGCCTTTTTTGGAATTTATGATGCATTGTGCCTTCCAAACATATGTATGCATAAATAAAAAAAGAACATCAGCAAATGATAAAGTGCCTCATACTTTATCTCAAGAAGTCTGTTGCAAATATTCCAGCTGAACGTCTTAACAAAGAAACTGTTAGGAATGATTCTTTTAAAATATTTCGGGTAGGACTTGTTTGTGGAGTAGGGAACATTTCGGTATCTTCCTTCTTTGCACAAAATTAACAGCCTTGATTGTGCATATTAGTACCATAGTTTATACATAAGTTACTTCCATCAAACAGGTTTCTAATTATTTTCATTCTCGTGCTAAAAAAAAAACACTTTAAGGTATTTTGTGCTAAATGATAGCATATAAACACAGCTATCGTTTAACAAGCCCTGTTGCTACTAAGACTAAATGCTACATCTAATTTCCATAGTCAAGACAGCCAAAAGCCATGGGACACAATCCAGAATCAATGTAGTCCTTTTGTCCTTTGCTCCACTGAATAAAAATAGGGTTGCCCATGCTGCCAAATACTGTTCTTCAGCACCATCTGTGGTCTCACTTGCTGTCTTGCTGATTTTGACACCACCCACTCCTGCAGAAACATCTGCCTCTTTTTAAAAATATGATTTGATTAAATTTCAAACTGTGAATAAAAAGTAAGCAAACCAGAAAAAAGAAGTGCCAAAAAGAAGAAAAAATATGGATGTAATATAGACGATTGTTAATTTAGAGTACAAGCTGGTGTATTTTTTTTTACCTATATCTGTACCAAAGAAACTTGGAAGCCACATACTCATCCCTTTGCAAACACTTCTAGTGTCCATCTTCAGTTTACCTATCAAGTCTTTCTGGGTGTAAATGGAAATGTGAGAAGGAAACATTTGCATGTATGGTTCTCCTTTGGAGTACAACACATCAAAGGGGGAGGTGGTTATCATGACTGGAGCCTCTTCAGGCATTCATCTAAACCAGTGTTCCTCAACCTTGGCTACTTGAAGATGTGTAGAGGCTGTGGAATTCTGACAACATCTTCAAGATGCAAAGCTGAGAAACACTGATCTTAACAAATGAACAAATAAAGAAACCCCAGAGGCCTTGAAAGCGGGTGGAGGAAAGATATGTATGTTATTGCTGATTCCACTTAACTAATCTCCCCAGATTTCACGCTGGAGGTCTAAGAGGCACTTTAATGGTTAGTTTTGCTTGAGTGGAACAGAATAAGATCCCCAGCTGAATAGGGACAAGCAGGTGTGAATGCAGGGGTGCAGCTCTCCATTGGAATTCATGGAGACTTGTGATGGAGCCAGTGTACATATCCCACCAACCAGATTGGGAAAGATTAAGTTAAGAACTTGTTCCCTTAATGAGATATCACTGGTGGGATTGATTGGACTAAGTAGTCTTCAGCACATCTCTTTCAGGTGAGCTGTCACCTGAGCACAGCAATTCACCACCTTAATGCTGTTGGCCCTTTCTTTTTCTCCCCTAAAAGTCTTCTTCATGGCAGGACCACGTTTATCTTCTTTGTCTTGGGAAGACTGCTTGAACTGCTACTCATACATTGGGTTTTTTCCCCCCTTCCAGATACTTTTGCTAGCAAAGCAGCCGCTGTTCAAGACATCCATGCAGATGCTTCCATTGGCAACGTCACAGGCAGCAACGCAGTCAACGTCTTCTTGGGCATTGGACTGGCATGGTCAGTAGCTGCCATCTACTGGGCTTCTCAAGGAGAGGAGTTCCATGTGTCAGCCGGCACGCTTGCCTTCTCTGTGACACTGTTCACCATTTTTGCTTTTGTCTGCGTCAGCGTGCTATTGTACCGAAGACGGCCTCATTTTGGAGGAGAACTAGGAGGCCCTAAAGGGTGCAGACTTGCCACAACTTTGCTTTTTGTGAGTCTGTGGCTATTGTACATTTTATTTGCTACCCTGGAGGCCTATTGCTACATCAAGGGGTTCTAAGTCATGGAGAGATTTCAAGCCAGAAGGGAGGCCTTCTCCTCCTCTGATACCTCATTGAACACCAATCCTAAGAGTGTTGGCTGACCAGGAGTAGCCGCTCACTATCAATTTTCCAGAACTGCCCAGGTTCAAGAAAGGCAAAATTATCATTATAAAAAGCAAAGACATATATTAAAATAAAGCCAACAGCATCAATCATTCAGTAAAATCAGAAACATCAAAAGTTCCTGAAGTACCCATTTGTTGAATTCTGCTGTAAGACTCCACGATGTTCATTTCTCCACTTTACGAAATATCATATATTCAGATAACGCTCTTACAAAGCATTGGGGTGGGTGTTGTTGTTTTTTAAATTTGGGGAGGGTGAATCTTACCTGATCTATTTTCCTTTTTTAACACAAAGAAAGGGGCTGAAAAAAAAAATGCAGGTTCAACTTTCATGCCACATCAGAACTGGAGTTGAAAATGCTCTATATTTTTTACTCTATATGAACATTTAATTATCATTTTTCACTTTGTTTTAGAGTTATAGTGCTATTGTATTTTAAGTGCAAACATAATCCATATAGACAAGACACCAACACTACGGACACACAGACGAAAACTACAGTTGAAAACTGGAGCATGTAGCAAGTAATACACCTCCCTTGGCTACCAAAAAAAAAAAAGGAAAAAAGGAAAAAGGAGAACAAACTGTAAAGATATTCTATGTAATGTGTATATTTTGAATATGGCAAATCTCTTTGTGTAATTAACATAAAAGCTTTTAGCACTGCAGAATTAAATATATATAAATATATATAGTTATTTATACACAGCAAATAAATCAATGCAAAGGAAAAACTGCAGTGTGAAAAATACAAGCAAAAGAAAACCAGCACAAGTTTATTACTATTGTCATTATCATCATCACCATTGTCGTCATCAACTTCATCATCTATTTGTTCCATATGTGGAAAAAGAAGATTCTTTTTTAAATAGAGAATAATTTATGTAAATATCATTTTCACACTTTTTGAGTGTTAAAATGTCACTCAAAATCCTTCAAGAATTACCGGTAAATTGTTTTGCTTTGACTTTGTTCTTAAAAACACTAAACAAAGTTTTTAAAAAGTTATGGTAATATCTCTATAAGTTTTGTCAGGTTGGATAATGGAATCCCTCTTTAACAAAAGTTGTTTTTAAAAAGCTGCATTCAAATCTAATACTAAATCATAGTTTGATGTTAACTTGAGCTCTGGTGGCACAGTAGTTAGAATGCAGTATTACAGACTAATTCTGCCAACTGACAGGAGTTTGATCCCACCCGAGTCAAGGTTAACTCAGCCTTTCATCCATTGGTGGGATTCAAAATTTTTACTACCAGTTCTGTGGGCGTGGCTTGATGGGCATGGCAGGGGAAGGATACTGTAAAATCTCCAGTCAGAGGTGGTATTTGCCAGTTCTCTGAACTACTCAAAATTTCTGCTACCAGTTCTCCAGAACTGGTCAGAACCTGCTGAATACCACCTCTGCTTCCATCCTTCCAAGGTCAGTAAAATGAGGACCCAGACTGTTAAGGGCAATATGCTGACTCCGTAAGAGGGTGCCGTAAAGGAGTACGAAGCAGTATATAAGTCTTAAGTGCTGTTGCTATTGCTAAGTCTCCTGATCATGTAGAAAGAGCACATCCCTCCCTTTTCTTCCTCCAGTGTGATTACAAACAGGAAATTGAAAAACGTCTACTGTCAGTTAATTATTATCTTAATGGGACAAATCAAAATTTAGTGGAACCATGCCTATCCAAAGAAGCTAACCCGAATGCACTTATGGTTTGTTCAGGTGATAAGAATAGAGAAAGATGTTATGTGTAAATTATATTTTAATAGATATGCAGTGAAGATGTCTGGTTGTGATTGTCCATTACCAACATTAGCCAAGAATGAAAGTAAATTATGAAACAGCTGCAATGCGTTATTACTAATCTATTTGCCGTTGCTTGGAGTTCCAATGACATAATTTATGAACCCCTTTCAAGATACAGGACAATCTTTCAGATGATGCTACTAGAGAGTCACTGCACTTTCTTGTAAAAATGATCATCAATCTTGAGGGTTTGCAGAGGGATCTCCATTTTTTTTTCCTAAAGAAAACACTGGTGATAATTTTCCAGATAAGATGATGTGTCCATTTTACTTACAATGCAAGTGTCTTCTTGTTTCTTTTATGTCCCTGCTTCTTGGCCTCCACAAGACTGAAATGTTATGATCGTAATGGCCACCATTAATCATATGTATAACTTTCTGGGAAAGAAGCGCCTTTTTATTTTTTTCCAACTCTGTGTGTGTGTGTGTGTGTGTGTGTGTGTGTCTTTCAATAACTGCAGACTTAAATATAGGATTGATACTAAAAATTATATTTGTTTCTGCACTCTCTCACATGCTTATGGACACCAACCCATTTCTTAAGCGTAAGGAGCAAATGGAGAGCTATATTTTTTATTTAAGAAAAATATTTCTTTTTCATCCAGAAATACAAAGGTTGCAAAGGAACTTTTTTTTCCTTAGATTTTTAACTCCTTGGCAAGTGAACAAGAAAAGACAAGTATCTGTATTTTGTACCTTTTTTATATAAGTTTTTTAAAAAGCAGAAACAAAGCTTATAAGCATTTGAGACTAATCCTATATAGGGGCAGTGACCCAAAGAATATATTCCTGAGCATGGAAATAGATGCAAAGTAATTTCAAAGAGTTTTGACACTGATTAAAAAGGAATATTTATTTCCATTTAAAACCAGAGTTTTTATGCCAACCGTACTCTGTTTTTTTGCCTTATTCCATGTAAAAAAAGGAATCCCTGCGGATTTTATTGCACTAGTTGTTGCTGACTATAGAGGGCAGTACTCATCTCCATTTCAGGGACTGTTGAGCCAGCGCTGTCTGAGGATGTTTCCACAGTGATGTGGCCAGCATGAAGTCACAGAGCACTCTTGCCTTCCCAATGAAGTGGTACCTATTTATCTACTTGCATTTGCACGATTTCAAATTGCTTAGGTTGGCAGGAGTTAGGGCGAGGACAGGAGTTCGCCCCATCATATATGACATGTGTGTCTCGAACCTGGATTGTCGGCTTTCCAACCAACAAGCACACCATCTAAACCCCTGAGCTATCGCTCTACCTCCTTATTCCATAAATACAGGCAGAACTGATTCTCTCAACCTTCAAGTTGGGGGAGAAATGTCATCCCCTAAGAAATTGCTTAAAACAAGAAAGACTAGTTTCAAACAACGGTGTAGCTCACTGGTGGTGTTCAGCTGGTTCGCCACGGATTGGGCGAACCGGTAGCAAGAATTTGGCATGGGTCGCCGAACCGGTAGTAAGTTCTGGCTGGCCATGCCCCCCACCCGGTCGTCCTCCCGCCCGATGCTCGCTCACCCCGCCCACCTGCCTGACATTCGCCTAAGGTATTCCTTTTTTTCCCCTTCCGATAATCAGCTGTAGATAAGATCAGCTGTGCCAGGATTCCCCTTGCTGAGGCCCAGGAGGGCAAAAAATGGAGGGAGGAGCTCAGCCCCCTCTCCATTTTTTGCCTTCCAGAGCCCCAAAGGAGCCGTAGGGGAGCAAAAATGCCCCTCCCGAGGATTCTCTGAGGCTAGGAAGCTCCCAAAACGGAGCATGGAGGGGTGTTGCATGCCCCTCCCATGCTCTGTTCCTTTTCTTCCTGAGCCCCAGAGGAGCCTTAGGGGAGCAAAAACGCCCCCCAGAGGCTCCTCTGTGGCTAAGAAGCTCCCAAAAACGGGTGGGGGCTGCAAAAAAAAGCCACACCCACCCAGTCATGGTCACGCCCACCAAGCCACGCCCACAGGACCAGCAGTAAAAGTTTTTGAAAACCACCACTGGTATGGCTCTTCTCAATGATTATGTGAGACAGATAGGATGTACCACGTCACCGAAGCATGATGTCTCACACTGTGGTTGTTCACAGTTGCAGAGCAGCAGATACCTGTGCCTGGTGGCATAAGCAGGATTCCCTTTGGGTAGAATCACTTTGTGCCCAACACAGGCATTGTTATCCTTAAGCCAGGTATATTTTGCAGGGGGGCAGGAATTGCTTTCCCCATCTTTCATTTGCTTGTTACAATCTATTTTAATGTTACCTGCTTGAATTCTTCAGGATAGGGAGGAGGCAGGTCTGAAATCTATTTTAATAAATCTCTTGGTTCCTCCCGTACAAAACGTCCTGTACAAATCCTTGACTTTATAAATTATTACCTCTTCTGGATATAAAAAGAAGAAGGGAAAGTGATATAATTTTTTTAAAAAGATCAGAAATTTAGAGAGTTGTCATAGTCAGCTAGAATCAGTGTGATTTAATGATATGTTGTTGCAGCGTACCTTAATACTAATGATCTTTTCACACGCACACACCCAAAAAGTTCTGTCCTTCCTTGGATTTTATTTTTTTCAATCTATGTCCTTGGGTTTTATTTGTCACATTTGTGTTCTACCTTTCCCCCAAAGAAGCCCAGGACAATACAAATGAAGCCTTGTTTTATCCTTACATCCTTGCAGTGACCTTGCAAGGAGAAGTTAGCCTGAACTGTCTGTGTGGTTGCTAAGCATTGCATTTGGGCTTGCAGTCCAGTTTCACAAGGCATTTTTGTTCAGCGGAAGTTTCAGCTCACAGCTCACAGCTCTTAATGATGAGCTCTATACAGGTCTACTGATTTATTTAAATAGGCTTTTCGGTCATCAAGGTTTTCAGGTGAGTTTTACTTGATTCTGCCTATCTCCCCCATTCCTGGTTGATAATGGTCCTGGTACAATCAAGCCTGTTAACTTTATCTACATGGGTGGTTTCAACCACATTCCTCTCTGCTTCTTCATGAAGACTACTTTTGGGTAGGGAGAGCTGATGGCAATGGTGGGATTCAGCCGGTTCGCACCACTTCGGGAGAACCAGTTGTTAACTTTCTGAACTGTTTGGTGAACTGGTTGTTGGAAGAAATCATTAGGGTAGA